GAATACTTAATAAAGCTAATTGACATGTAAACATGTTAAAGATAGGAATTACAAAATGGGTGTGTTCGCTGCGTTAACTGTACACGCTCAAACTACCATTTTCATCTATTCTCTCATTTAAAAAATTACTAGATTCTATGCCATTATCTAATTTAAACATTGCTTGAACAACTATCGAAGTTTTACACGACTACGTTGAATTGCACTTCTGACACTTGAGCAAGAAGCCCGTTTGACATTTACTCGTAGGCAATAGAGCTAGTAGTTCAATTAAAAATGAATCGCGGAAGCTGCAATGTTAAACGGAACATTCTTGGAGAAGAGTCCGTCGGCAGGTTCGGAGGGTTCGCTCGATTTTTTCGCGCGCGACTTTCGATTTCGACCGGCGCGACGACGGCGCGCGTGCGCGCGCGCGCGCGCGCGCGCGAGCGGCAGGACGCGAGGAAAAGGAAGAAAAGAAAAGGGCAGAAGACCCGGAAGGCCATCTCATCTTCCGCGAATTTGCCGGGCCACTGACTTCTTCGTTCGTTGCATAACGCCACCTCCCGTCGGCGGACAACGCCGTCGCCCGTCGTCGCGGATGAGAGCCGCTGAATCGTGGTGTACCGGTTGTTCCACTCGTGGAATGCGGACCGGCGCGCTGTGTGCGTGCCCACACCGCTGTGTGTGCATACACATTGTGCACACACACCACACACACACACAGAGAGAGGGAAACGCATACAAACGAGTGGATAGTGCCGTAAGCTATTCCCGCGGCACCCCGGCTACTCGTCCGACTTTCGTTTAACCCGCTGCAGGCCGTCCGTCCCATTTTTTTCCAACGAAGAATTTTGCAAAGTTACGAATAAGACATTTCGCCGGGAGACAACCTTCCGAACGCGCCACCTGGCTCTGTCTTCAAATCGCGGATGCACACGTCGTAATTAGAAACGCACATCAGAGCCTCTGTGTGCCGCGGGGTTGTTACGCTGCTGCACATGTGCTCGCGTGCCCACCCGTACGTACGAGCGGGATAGAGAAAGGGATAGCTACGTGTGCATCGCGTCTTTCACGTGTACCGCGGACGCAAATATTGTTATTATTGTTTACGACCGGAGAGGAGGTGCATCTCTGCGCGCACGGTGCTCGGCGTTCGGTTCTAACTCACGTTAAGAAAGCATTGTTTGCATTTCATTGCCTATGCGCCTTTGCGTAACCGCAATACCGGCTGTGCACAGGCCGGCAGCTGCTGCGACGATCCTTGGATTCTACGCGACGGGAACACGAGACGCGAATATCGAGGCGAATTTTCTGAAGAGAGAAAAGAATCGTGAGAATCTTTTATTCGCCAGTGCCTAGTTGAAATAAAACCGTAATGGGAAAAATTATTCGACGTATCTGGCAATACTTTATTAAAGGAATTACACAACGAGAATTCCGCTTCTTTTCGAGTGAAAAGCATCTTGATTACATTCTAAAGTCAGACAAGAGAAAGAAAAGAATATCTCGCCTTCGCAAGAAAACAATCGCGGTAAAGTATGGCTTAATTCACTTGCCCAGAAGAGAATGTGCAAGAATAAAATTTAATAACTCCTGTGTACCGCGATATTTATAACACCGTATATTATTCCAAATAAAAATCTCAGAAATCTAAAGTCCTATATGGATGTCAAGTGCAATTATTCGACTTCTCTAAAGTTAAGCGAGCGAGCGTGAATGAACGAATTAATTTGGTTCAATGAGTGTGAAACTGAAGCCAATTGTTCGCTCGTCTGCTTGAATCCAGAGAGAATCGTAAAAATTATCTAAAAATGGCGCTACGGCGAATTGACGGAGATAAAAATATTTCGAAGTGCCATCGTCTTTATAGGGAAAGATCGCGCATGCGAATATAGAACAGAATGCGATTTATTAATAGACTGTTACAGAAATAAAGAAGCAGAAGACCGAGTGTGCGTTTAAAGAAAAGATTGCACTTTGCGTGAGAAAAATGAAGGGGAGCGTCTCGGATCGCAAGGAGAAACTCCTGTAAAATTCCCAATCTCTCTGCACGCATTATCACATCGACACACAGCCGGTTTGATTACGACATAGAGCGACGATTCGATTACCTCGCTCGTAATGCCCGCGTGAATTTTCTAGCGCGCATTAATCAAGGGTAATGTCGCAATCTGTCTTGCGGCCACAACTTTTTTCGATTGGCCGGCACACCGCGCGGGTACTCTCTTAATAGACACATTAACTTTGTGCCGGTAATCGACGATGGAAATTAAATCTTATGTTCCAGTTATAAATCATCCGTGTAACGTGTCCTCGAGCGCTAAATAAAGGACGCGATTATTCATCCGATGAAGCCCGGACAAGAAATATCGAGTAGCGCCGTAATCGATGAATCTCGTGCATGGAATATTCATAAACGCGTCTAGGAAACTGTAATTGATTCGAATTATCGCGTCTAGCATCATGTCGTTCATTATTGATATTGCATTAACAAGAATTCTCGAATGGGTACATAAGAGTTTTTCTTGTCTTTTTGTTTTATATATTTAGCAAGGAACAGTTTACATTTTAAAAAAGTTACATTTTGAAAAAGTCTTTTTCAAATGTCTCCCTTATAGTTTCAATAAACTTTTTTCTCCGTAACATATAACGATACACTTCGCTCATCTCGCTTGGTACTTAATCTGTAATTTTATCTACTTTATTGTTAATAATTTATTATTTGCCTTCGTGTCATTAGAATTTATCAGCGATTTCAACGCGAAACTATGGCCGAAGAACGTAGAATGACGATGTTACTTGTACGTAGCTACAAACAATCGAAGGAAGTCGTATCTCATAAATATTACGGCGGCGAGGCCCGACAGTCGGTTGCGGCCACTGTATGCAAATTTGACCGCTGCATATTTCTATTGCCGCTACGTTCCAATCGAACACCCGATATAAACAACCTTCGACTAACTATGCTGATCTTAACGCATCAAGATCTTCGATGTATTTTACAATTGCTTTGAAAATAGCATTAAAATTCAATTTTATATTATGTAAATTTATTGCATTGTCTATTAAATTGTCCGATTGATAATTTTATATTGCCTTATTGTTTAAAAGTTTTGGAAGTATTACTCGCGAAAGTATTTCTGGCAGATTAGCTCTTTCCAGCAAGAAATTTGTAAAATATGTAAGATATGAATAACAATATTTTCATATTACTTATTACATGTTATCATTTTAATTAATTTATCGCAATGCAACTTTTATTATTTCAGATCCTTTCTGCAGTTCTGGACGCAGATTATTTGCATGAATACAAATTTGAATAAATATAAATAAAATTTTGCTCTCCTATTTCACCCTTTTAAGAATTAATTCATCTATTGAATCAACAATCGAAAGAACACATAAAGTCACGTAAAGTTAATAATATCAGATATATGAAGAGAAACAAGTTTTATCAGGTGCACGAGCGACATAAAGTGACGGATATAAGACGATTTCAACGATTTGCTCCATAAAGATGAGATTAAGAGATAACTAAATAAAGGGATGAGCAACAAGTTTAGTGCAGCTTGCGACTTTTGACACGCGAGTGTTTCGGCTTAGTAAATTTACGATTTCCTCGAAATCCGCAAAGGCGGAAGGAAATTAATTTGCATATTCAGGAGGGAGTCTGCGTCGTAACCTTTAATCCCTGTACATTTTTATCGCGAATTTCTTCATGCTCTTTTGTTTCGAGTTATTAAATAGTACGTTTATTTATTTCCCGTAAAAGTACACTGTGCTTACCTAAAATGACTCAATTAACAATTAAGAGAAATTAAAAGCTCGAAGTCTATCGAACGTTGGTACAATAATCAGTTGGATATTCGATAATGTGATAAAATTGATATAAGATAACGAAACCACACCCAGAAAAAATATTTAAACAAATGGAATACGTTGAAATCATATTTCTTTGAATCTACTAAATTTTTATTTATACTTATACTAAAATGTTTGCTAGATTTGAAGAAATACACTGAGACAAATTTCCATCGGATAAACCAATTAGTGTTTCCGATGGTTAATTTTTCCGATTAAATTATGGACACATCCGATGACAAGTATCCGATGAAATGCAGTTACCGATGAAATTTGATTGAAAAACTGATCATATTTTTCATCGGATATACAATTTAATTGGATATATCCGTTTGTTATTATGTAATTAAATAAAATTTTGGTTAGAGTAAAGAAATTATTTCTTTGAAATTAAATAAAAGTCTAGTAAGGTCGAACTTCAAAGAAAACTTGTTTAATTTCGAAGAAACTTTTTCTGAGTGTAATTACGGGAAGAAACACGACGTATTTACACTGGTCGTAAATTGAATCGCAAAAGATTCTCGGCAAGCGAAAACTAACGTGGTGGACTTTCGCACCTGTTTTTAAGACAGCTGCGCTATCTTTTCATGGGGGAAGATGAGCGAGATACAAAGTACTAAACCTACAATCTTTATGAGATCCTCGAGATCGTTGACTTCCTATGTCATTTTGTCAAATCGACACAAAAACTTATAGGTGATATTTAAGAAATATATAAATGTCACGATAAGAGGTTCTTAAATATATAACCAGCGATAAGTGTATTACCGATACACGTGCGTGTCGAGCCGGAAAAATATGGAAGGGACGATTAATCGCCGACATTTGTCTCACGCAGCCACCGACCGATAGCCAGATTTGAGATAAATGATACACAATTTCGCTTATCTCACCCTCGTACAACTCGTTCGATTACCATTGGTCTTTTTTCCCCTCATCTTTGAGCTCTAGATACCATAATCGCTAATAAAAATGTAACTGTGTGCCAAGTTCTATACACGCTACAGCTTTTTACGATTTAAAAGGATATACACAATATATAGAAATACTTTTGAACTTAAATTGATGTTTTACTGAGCCGCTTAATATTACGGAAATCTACCTACTTTCACGAATCGAATTTTTCCTAACCGTCTTCGACGTATTTATTCTTTCAGTATCTCGCGGAGCACATAGTAATAGCGCGACGGATGCGCGGCCGAAGAGGCGGAAGTACCCATTGACCATGGCGGCGGGAACGTGCCAATTCGCCTGAGAGGACAGTATCTGAAGAAATCCGCAAGGTGAGTCCTCCCTGGGTCCCTTACGCTTCCGAGCTCGGACCCGCGACGTTATTAAGATTTCAAGAGATACGGGAAATAAATTAAGCGGGTAAACGGACGGAAACCGGTGAGGCGAGCTCCGAGATAAATCGAGTGGCGGAAGACGAAGACCTATGAGAGATAAGGGGGAAGGGAGGGCAGGTCGCGTTTTTCAGAATCGCCCCGGCGTCTCGGCCTCTATATCCTGGCCGATAGCTTCCAATAGCGAACGAAGATAAGCGCAGCGGTGCCGCTTCGTGCAGGCACCGGTCCTGATCCGGGGAGAAAAAGAAAGCGAACTTCCGCGATTAAGATGTGTGCAACGAGGCACCCATGAATTCCGTCTAGATACATATCTGATTTGGCATTGTCACCGTCGGTAATCCGCTCGTTCTTTTTTGCGGCGAGGAACGCGCCGAATGGAGATGTTAACTCCCAAAATATACTCCCGCGGAAAGGGATATGCTCAGACACGACGTAAACGATCACCTCTCTCTCGTTTCCAGACGGATTTAAGAATTTCACAACCAATCTTTTGTAAGGAAGACCAGGCTCACACGGAGCTCGTTTATTTTCTCTTATAAAATAATACGAATGCAAGTCATTGCGTTGGACGGATCTCATCCAACAGTTAATCCAAAAATTAGAAAATTGGATAGAACATGAATTCTAGTCGATCATTAAGATATTGCAAGAAACTTACGAAATCGTTGTTTAAAATATTGTTCATTGTGGATTTGATTTTGACGAAAATGTACAGCTTAAAAGTCTGATTTCTCCAATGTCGCTTAACTTTAATCTTTATTTAATTCATTCTTTTTCTCTTTTTAAAGGAACGGTTAGAAAGAGGCGATTGATCGTAATATATATCCAATACATCCTCAAATTGACAAAAGATTATCCTATAGTTCGAGTATATTGCGAAGTTGCGAGTCTATCGGCGTACACGCAGCTCGGACGTCGATATGTATAAATAATAATTGATTATTGAGTATCTTAACACTCTGCATTCGCATGCGGCATGAGAGATCACATCGGAGCAGTTCTTTGTTGGGTTCCCGGGAAACACGAGTGAAGCTGATAATTTGCATATTAAATTAAGCGAGGAAATGTTTTTCTTAGATACTCTTCAGGAAGTTAAATTGCACTAAATGAAGAGTGAGTATCAATATTCCTGCTTCAAAGTGGATTAATTATAAAGTAGCGGCATTAATTATAAAGAAACTATGGTTTAGATGTAATCTGTGCAGAAATTTGCATTTCTTACCGAACAATTAGCTGAATTACATTAATTCGCGGACATAATAATACATGTCGGACATAACAATATAGTCGCTACATCTCCATATTTCCATATTATATTCATAATTCTAATTTAATTAAATGGAATTACAGATGGAAGACTCCATTTATATACTTTTCTTAAAAAGAGCGATTGAAGATAATTTAATTAAATATCAAATAAATATTAATAAGAGTAACTGCACTCGATTATGTGCGCGTTGTTCATCTGTGTTTGAGTTTTATTTAATCTCGTCGCGGTGTAATATTTTAAAGGAACTTCCTGGGTGTAAGTCCCGTGGTCCTTAGACCATCGACCATGGGTAACCTTCCACGGTATGCATGGGCCTCGTTTATCGCGAGGCCGTAACTTACGCGTCACCCGTTATCTGGGCGCGCTTATTATGCATGTTATCGTCTCCCCCTTCGACGAAGGGAGAGCCATAAATTTAATAGTCCCCGGTGTGCGGAGGAATCTTCCTCCTTCGGCATGAAAATCTGAATCGACCCTCTGGGACTCGATTCCTCGCTCTCGTTTTTGTCTCTCGAATTTCATAATATCTTTCAAGCCTACTCGCATACGTAAATATCTGTCAATATCACCGCACATAATACGTATGTTCTTCAGAAAAATGTGCATATAATTCGTCAGATTGTATGCAATTCTTTCAATTTCACTCAGAATCTTTCCATTTATCTGACATTTTCGATTATCGCGAGGTATCCTTTGCCTAGTTACATTAATTTAATTATCCTGAATAATTTGCTCAAGAATTATTACCGCGTTGAAAATAATTTTTTGCGATAAACGGAAATGTTTCAAGCTACAATATGCATGCGTGTGTGTGTGTGTGTGTGTGTGTGTGTGTGTATGTGTGAGCGGCTTGTCGGCAAAACTATAGTTATCATGCTCCATTATTTGCAACAGGGGAGCAGTTCAGCCTCCGTCGGACAGTGGAAAATTTCGCGCCGATCGCGACTCGTATCGCGGAGAGGAAAAACAGATAAATTGCAAGCGGCAGCGACGCTGTGTTTACGCGGAACACGAGGAAGCAAAATAAGAAATCGACCGAGAAATCAAATCGTCCGTCGCGATAACGACGATGCCGGGCAACGAGCCCGACCGACGTCATCGGTCGGACCCCGTCTTATCGTCGACAGAATTCTCGGCTGTTGTAAATGATACGGCGATCAATTTTTTTACTGCCTGGATACACTTCCGGTAATCGCGATTTCCCAACCCCTTCACGTTGTTTTATTTCACGCACTTGTTTCCACTTCGACCGAGTAAGTCTCAAGAACGAGAAGACATCTCAAGATACATTTGAATACTTTTATAGCGCATATATTGTCGTCATGTATCCCGATTGAACTTGTTTGTACAAATATTCCAAGTCCAGCATGTCCTCTTCCACTTTCTAAAAGTCAATCAGTGGATCATCATTGAAAACAGTGAATATTCACTGATTCACTGAATTATTCAGTGCTATATTTATACTTGTTTTCAGTGGCAATGTACTGATTGACTTTTAGAGAGCAGTCGTGAATTTTTTTTATGAATATAGTAGTAATTTTACTGCAAATATTAACCGGATGATCACTGATACCAGTATTTAAAATTTTTATATACGAAGCAATTTCATTTCAGATTAATTTTTCATTACGATAAAATCTAATAAAAATTAAGTGAAAAACATTTTTACTATTTATTTATTGTACCAAGTATTCTCTACCTTTCCCAACCATATTCCCGCACTAAAACTTTTAAGCTAATTTGAAGTAATTTTTCCTAATTGAAACTAATTTCCTTGTTACAAAGAATTTAAAAAGAAAGTTTTATATTAAACTTCGGGGATGAAAATAGATAAGTGCCGTTCTTCGTACAATTTTAAATATGCTTAGCGAAAATATTGTAATATTAAAAATTATAGAGGTATTTAAGAAAAAGCGAACAAGCTGAAAGCTAAAAATACATCGAGAAGTTTACTAATGTGAAACGTTACGATGTATCTAGAATACCTTGTATAGGTATCAGTAAGAACGAAGCTGTCTTTTTGCAAGTCACGTATTGCATGTCATAAATCGATGCAAAGTGACCAATAAAACCGTGGCAGCCACATACATCGCCCACATGCACCGGTAATGGACACGTGCGTTTTTCTAATTACCTGTACTGAAATCGCCCTAATCGCTCGCCGTCAGCCTCAACGCACTTGATGCCTCCTCGCCGTCTTTCTCCGTCTGGGTGGCGCAGGCGATTTGCCACGTGAATTAAACTAATAACGTAAACGGCCTTGAATTGCGTCTACTCTTCGCACAAGCGCAAGGTTCTCCATGTAAAATTTGACTCTTTTAGTCGGAATCATTAATATTTTTTCGATCGTACGCTCGTACAACTACTTTATCACAATAGATATTAAAAAATATATGTCCCAATTCAAATTGTTGCAATTAGTTTTTCTATGAGAAAGTAGAAATGGAATAAAATTGAATAAAATTGAATAAAATTATGTCGTAAATAACTATCAAGTTGATCGAAAAATATTTTCGTATTTTATGTAAATAGAACGGCTAAAAATACGAAAAAAACTTTCTAACCAACCAAATAGCTGTGTAAAGAATGTTAAAGTTTCGTGGCCAAGTTATTTTTGGGGGTTTTTTAATTTTTGTTAATATGTTTCCCGGATTGCATGCAATCGTTGAATCTTTTAAAATTTTTATAAGTGGGACTCATACGTCATGAAAGGGTTAAAAAATATTTTAGTATGAAACACGGCGCGATGTTATAAAGATCCCGCATATACTCTTATTTTCGAGCAATCGCGAAAGTTCTCTGCAGAAAAGTCTTTCCATCACGGGCAGGAACACAAGATATCGATGAATGATGTGGGCGAGACAGGGGCCTATTGATGCTGGAACGTGTGTCCATCGACGAAAAAGAGAGTTTGCCAGGTCGAACGGATAAAGGCATTATTGTCGATTGTTCTTTCACAGTAGATCGGCCGAAAGTGCTACGAGAGCGATTTCCGTCGATCGAACCGGCGAACGACGGCCAGCTTTCGCTGTTGAATGCGAGTAAATTTATTGATTGTGCGATACGCATGCAAATATGGCGCAATAGATAATCCTCACCGCGTAATACTTTTGCATAACGATCTCTAAATGCCCGGCGATCGGGTCGCGGTTGACCATACGTCGTGTCCGGTCCCGCGCGCTCCAGTGATTAATCAACCGGTTTAATTAGACGCCTAATTACCACCAGATACGGATCTCCATCGGGATAACCAGGCTCGAGGACCGCGACCGCGAGACGACGTGTATGTATTATATACGGCATAGTGATGCCCGATACCGGGGCTCTCAGTTACATCCGTCCGCGGCTATATCCTCGTGTTTCGAGACACTGGAGAAGACGTCATTTTAACGCGCATTAGAGTCTCCGGCAACGTCCCCGTGCGCGGCCATCATTCATACCCTAATGAACGTGAAATCTCCCGGGCGTTACGCGCGCCTCGCCCACGAGAAAAGAGCGTTTAAATCGAAGCGATCTTTAGACCTTTCGGGACGATCTTTCTTTTTCAGCGATACGTAGGATTTCGATTTTTTCAACGGTTGATTAAACGTACATTCCGACGATCTTTACGATGGTTGTCCTTAATATCTAAGCGAGGCAATTGTAAGTCTCGCGTTTTCTGCCGATC